GGAAATAAATCGTATTGTGAAACATTGCATATTGTTGCTGACAGTGACACGTTAGAAAACCATCAAAAACATCAGAAGATAAACAAAATTGTTTTCACTGGTTTATTTCATGAACAGTAGATATCAACCTGCAGTACCAACACTGAAGTATACATTTTCCTTTTTTAGTACAGTTCGTTTAAATACAAAAGTCTTAAGCTTTTGCTTTAAGCATATGCTCTGGATTTGTATTAGGGTATAATCTGCAGTAAGAAACTTATTCATCATTTATTATTTCCTTCTCTCTTTGAATTTAGATTTGGTAGATCAGCTCTCAGCTTTTTCAGCAAGAAGACATTTATGGTAGGCAACAAACTTCTGGCCAAAGTGCTGTGTGTAGTTTTGATTACTCAGGAGACTTACACTCCATTCCTAGTTTTGAAGAAGACTTTCTTTGTGTCTTTAGGTTTGTCAAAAATTTAGCAAAGCTTTGAGCATGTTGGTACTTTATTCACAGCTGAGCATTACATTTAGAAAGGTTATTCAGATGAAACCTGTGCTTTGGGTCATTATTTCCTTTTGAGTTAGCTTCCCCATCACTAAAATGCGCTATTGGTATAAGCTTTAGCTTTGTACTTAGAGATTGTGAACTTTTCAGATCAGGAATTCTCTCCTTTTTTTGTTGCAGTGTAGAGTAGCTCAGTAAAAAGAGGCCTCTAATCTTTGCATATAAACTGCAGTGTTCTGGTTGAGTAAGTAACTTTGATTGTGTCACCATTACTCTACAGAAAGTTGTTAAACATTATAGTGAAATGGAGCATCCTTCCACTAACAGTTCATACATGTTAACAAAATTAAGAAGTGAAGTATGTGCTTCACGTTTGGAATTTATCTATAAGCACAACATAAATTTCCTTATAATGATGAAATTATAATATTGTTTCTTATTTGGGTTACTCTTTATAACCCTATTTGTTAACTCTCTATGTAGCACTAAAGACAGGTTACATCACATAACGTGTACTTTAGTTTAAAAAGCAGAATAAGCATATGATTATCTAATAAGTACTTCTAATATATCTTGAAATTTAATCACATCACTTAGCATCAATAGTACTTTAAATATTATATTCTTAAAAGATTATGTTCTGGAGCCTGCATTAGTGGCATTACAATATTTTTTTGCTTTCGTTAGACAAAAAGAATTGTAATATGAAATGCTTATTTTTCCTGAATTGTAAGAATGTTAAGATGTTTATAACATCACTGTTGAAATTGCATGTATGCCTTTTCCCTCACTATCCTAGATGTATTCTAGGATATTCTAGTCCCTCTCAAGCTTCAGATTTCATTCTAATCTGATGAGGCAGTAGGTCTCTTCTTAGCCTTTTTGGGAGACGGTGACTGCATTTACAGTGTCCTGCTAGATGACATTTTCAGATGTTCCTTGAGCTGCAATCCTGCAACAGCTCTATGCTGCCAATATGTGTGTCTCTCTAGGCCATGGGGGAAAGCATGTGGCTGTCACCTCTTTAAAAATGGTGTGGCAGAACCAGGGCATCCTTCTCTTCTCATTTACAGGGCTGACCGTGCTGTCACATCGCTTACCAGAGCCCTTCCGGGGGGAAAGACATATTACACAAGAACTTCACAAGAAATTCTAGATTTAGAGTAACCATGAATGTGCTTCAACCAAATCAAAGCTTCCTTCACCCCACAGCCATCAATGAAATGCTGTTCAAGGTGACCATCAGATTGTCTGGATGCCTTGCACACATCCACACAGTCCTTCGGCTTTTAGAGGCTATTATCTCCAAATACTGGCTAACTCATGCTTTAATGGTGCCATGCATCACAACAGGTGTGTGAGCCAAAACCACCCCATGGCTGACCTTCATTGAATAAAGGTGCATCACTTTTGATCCAGTGGTAGCACAGCCAGCATGTCATCATAAGAAAACACACAGGTTCATCTTATATTCACTTGGTTAGATAACATTTCTTGGTTCTGCATTCCAGACCAGGTTCTCCTTAGGCACTGAGATGTATCATGTCTAGATCTACTGCCTGCTTGAACTGCAAACTGAAGAACCAGAGTGCTGTGTTTATTTCCTGGTCAGATAATCCCACTTGACCTTTCTCCCACCCACAAATTCTATTCTCTTCCTCATTAAGATCAGCCAGCTAAGAAATGTTACAGGATAGAATGTTAGTGACTCTCTTTACAAATTCCCTTGGCCCTTGTTTCTTTAAACATGTGCTATAGATTGCTCTTGGATGAAGGACTGTAGAGTCATGTCTTTAAGAAAAGGGACAAGGTAAATTCTGCTCTTAGTCCTTAAAAGAGAGTGGGAGTTCTTGCTTAAGTTTTTGCTGCTTGGAGTCAGTGGTTTGCACAGGGGCATAATTCAATTGTATTGGATATAGTGAACAGATATTTTAAAAGTATTTGGACAATCTCCAGAGGTAATTTCAGCAGAGGGCCAAGAATTTCAGTGTTGGAAAGACTTGCCTGACAAGAGACAAGACTTGCTCTGGAGGCAAGGAATGTATCTCTAATATCTATATGTGATGTACTGGGGGTGGAGGGAGGGCTGCTGTGCTCTGTTAAGGCAGTGGCTGAATGTCTGGTCAGACACCTTCAGATGTTTCTTGGATGCACATTCTCTGGTGGAGCTCAGTGTCACATAGCATCAAATATTACCCAATACCCAGTAAAAGTGTGGCATTGCTAGCCTGTTGAAACTTAGTTTCTTTGGGAAGCTCCAGATTACAGTTTTGTTTTGCTTTAAGGTTTTTTACTTTTCACTCCACAAGTCTCTGGGGAGACAGGGAGAGCTGAGACCATGGTTTCCCTTCTATTTTCAGAAATTATAACAGCTTGGAGGTCTCTTGATGAGAGGGATTTTCCCTGGCCAACTTTGGGAGGCTTTTAGTTGATTGCAGGAAAGGGTGGAGAGGGATGACATTTCTGAGTTCAATTCTGATGTCATTTTTTGATGTTTCCTTATGAAAGTGTCTTCAGTTTGTCAAGTGCTGTCAGATATTAGTAAAATCTTTACCTATATGAGATAGTGCAGAGCTGTCACAGTATGTGAATTTTCAGAATTTAGGGAGCATTGTAAGACTGAAGAGATAGTATTCCAACTGTATGCTTTAACCACAGCAGTCAGGAGCAAGAGCAAGCTAATGTAAATATGGATCTGTCCATAATAAATAATCATTGCAATTTGACAGCTCTGTGGATTTGGCTTAAAGATTAGTCAGAGCTCTTTTAGCTATCCTTTTCTCTTTACACCCCTAATTATATCTAATGTGAAAAGATATGAAAAATAAAGTTTATGCATGTTAAACCCTTCAGCATTACCTTATGTGTCTCAGCGAAGATGGAAGGAAATCCCCGACATGACAGAGAATTTTTTGAATGGCGATCATACCTGTAACTTTATATATGGAAACTCTTAATTTACGTTGTGCTGCCTTTCCTTTTTACCAGGAAGATTATAAAAAGCTGTGAATCAAGCCTCTAGTTCTCTCCCTCTGTGCAGGCTTAACTCCTCAAAACTTCCTCCTCAAATGTCATTTGAGAACAAATCCTGGCTTGTCTGTGTCTTGCCTTCTCTCTTAACAGCTCCCTGTTTCCACCCCTGGTTTTCAGAGATGCCAAAAATGTTGTGATTTTCCTGCTCAAAAGATCTTGCATGCCGAGTAATTCTTCTTCTCAGCAATGCTTACTTACCAGATGACTCAGTAACTTCCAAAAGCTTCATGCTGTTCTTCCTTCCTCTCATCTTCGCACTGCGCAGATATGCATATGCTTCTGGCATCTGTAAAAACACTGTATCTGCCTAGCACAGTTAGAGCCTCCTTTAAACTCAGAAACAGAAAAATGTGTGCAGACATACTTTTCTGGGCACAGAATTTCTCTATGACTTTAAGCACAGATAAGCCTCACTTAGAGGAGGGTAAAAAGAATCAAAGGGAAGTTGTGGTGCTAGCAAGGATAGAAGTGGAGAAACAGTTGCAAAGTATTTTTCAGAAGCCATTTTTGAAAATACAGGAAGATTGTTGCCAGTTCTTTGTTCGCAGAGCTCCCCAAATTCTTAGGGAAACTGATCCTGGAATCTGAGATGTGACCTCTAGGAGGTAAAACATTACCTATAATGCATACAGATTTACAGCAATTTTGTTTTTTCAGCAATGTTTGCTCAAGTCTTACCATTAAACCATTAAATCTGAGCACCAGAACTTGGAGCAGAGCATGTCAGCCAGTTTCTGTTTATGTTAACAGCTGTATAGACATGCACTTTGATAAGTGAACAGTAGTGAATGTGCATGTGGGTGTTTAGCTGGAATTTGGGGAGAGGATGTTCTTCACACTTGCTGCTCTGTAAGTATTTTCCTGGTGAATGTAAGAGAATTTGTATTCCTGCCTTCTAAGCAGGAATTGTATAAGTGACTAGAATGGTTAACCTGGGTCTTCATATGGGAGTGATCGGTTCTGGGAGACAAAGCCGGCATGTGAGAGTTCAAGGCACACATATCTTTATATAAGACAAGCTGATATTCACCCAAAGGAGAAAAAAAAGCAATTCAAGCCCTTTTTCCTGTAGCTTATAAGAACAGAAGAGACATTTCATTCTGATGGTTAACTGTCTACATATCAAACAGGTGCTCTGATCATGAGAAGTTAAATCAGTTAGGGTGATCAAGCAAAACATACCTCAAAGCTTGCCTCTCAGAGATGGAATGATAGGTGATGTAAGGTTAGTTAGTCTTCAGTCACTCAGACTTCATTCAGGAGCAGTTTACATACTGTGGCCCTTTGAAAAGCTGAAGATACAGAGTGACTGAGCCAAGTTAACTAGTAGTTCCAACAGTTATCAAAAAAGCTACAGTAGCTCCAGTGCCTGAGGAATTTGGCGTAAAAAAAATTGGGCAGTGCAGTCCAACATCCCAACGAAATAGTTTTACTGTGAACTTTGTTTTGATCTTAATATTTCTATTACACTATTTTTCAGGCCCTGATTATATCAAACAAAAATTTCAAGAAGGAATGGATGCAAAAGAAAAATCTGAAGAAAAAGGTCAGGAGAAGCCACCCACCCCAAAAGAGTCACCTCACTTTTATCGAAAAGGTACTACACCCCCTCGAACCCCAGAAGCAAGCCCAAGAAATAGTCCTCCTCTTTCTTCTGAGACTTCTCCTTCAAAACAACTGAAAAGGCAAAGCTCCACTTCTGGGGCAAGACTCAATCAAGACAAAAAGCTTTTAGCCACTGAGAATATAACACCCACAACTAACAAGCCTTTATATTCTAAAGCACCGGTGAAAGAGGAAGTAGCTGGGAAACACCAGCCAAAGTTTTCAGCCCAGCACAATCCCAGCAGCACAGAGAATGGGGAGCTGCATGGTCACTACCATGGCTATTATGTAAAAATGAATCCAACAGCGCTTCCACAGGAGCTCAGGGAAGAAGATGAATATGCCAACCCTTCACCATCAACGCTTGCACGGATACCACCCTCTCAGAAGCCAAGCCCTGCTAGATCTGGGGGTAAGCCAGATGCCAAAGAAAACAAGCCTGACATAAAAATTAAGAAAACAGAATTTGCTGCACCAAAGAACCCAGCTAATAATGAGTCACATTCAGCAATGGAGAAAGAAGTAGGAAACAGCTCGGTAAGTACTGCAAGAGACATTTTCTCTTTCACTGCCCTTTTGCCTCTGAGTGCTGAGCTTTGCAACCTAAGCATAGGCAAAGCTCACTTCTGACAAATCTTAATCTGGATACAGTCTGCTAGCTAAAACCCACTTCACCTGGAGTGAGGAAGAAATATTCCAGTCTGGAATGAGCAAAGGAGTTTTAAAACTACCCTTTCAGATCAGTGTGAATCTTCATTTCAGTATCATTTTAAAATAATAAAGTTATCAATAGCCACGCAGAAAAGGACTGATGACTTGCATTTCTATTTCATGTTAGAAAAAAAACTCAGGGTATGAAATTCTGAATCTCTGATGATGATTCTGTGATTCTTGGGCCAAGAGAAATTCAGGAAAGCATTTGTTTTACATCCTAAAGTTAGCCTTTAGTGAATGAAGAGTTCTAGATAATTGTCATAAGGTTTTTCTTTTATAAGCATTGCTTCTTTGAGTCATTTTGGTGGTACTATACAAAATAGTGTGTCATTATTGATGGGATAAACAGAATGACCCATTTAAGGAGATCCAAATAGCCTAGTACTGATTGTAGGCAAAACACTTGAATAATTAACACCAGACTTCATTAATAAAGAATTTAGAATTAAAGAGGGGGAGCAATTTCCAACCAACGTGAATTGTAAATGTTCTTGTCAAACAAGTTTGACATCTTCAGGTGTGAGAGAAGAATCTTAATCTCATCCAAGAAGGTCACTTGATTTGCTTTTACATGGCCATGTATTCTGACAAGGAAACCAGAGTAATTCAAAGGCTAAATGTCACATTAAAATAATTTTTTTAAAACTGAGTGATAGTTCTCAAAAGGTAATTAGAAACCTATCAGTTATTTGATATTATTCTGGCGAGGTCATCCTTGCATTAATTCTGTTACTCTAATCATATTCTTGTTAATGACATACAAGAGGTCATGAGAATATCATCCATGAAGTTTATAAAAGACACAGAGACCTGGAGACTGGTCTATAATGAAGGCAAATATAAGCTCATGCAAACCACCTGCTAAGAAGGCTGAAAGTATAATTATCCATGGCAGCACAGCAAAACATAGTACTGTTTATAAAAGATAATTTATAGAGCCTGGCCATGAAGGATCAGAACTGGAAAAGGTTGATGGATCAGGAGCAATAGAGGCAACTGAACACGAGCTCCCAGTCTGCTGCTGTTGTTCAGAGATGTTAATATAATCCTTAGATTTATCAACAGAAAAGATTAAGCAAGAGTACATGGGAGTCCATTCTGTCTGCTTTTGGCACGGGTGCAACCACTTCTGGGATAAAACAGTGTTCGTAAATCAGGGATTTAAAATGAAAAAAAATTGAGAGGAAGTCACAGAAAGAGCAGCAAGAATGATTAAAACATACCTAAAACATACAATGGAAGATTCGAGGTACAAAAACCCCTGCCGTACTACATCACTTTCTGTAAGTGTGCTTTATTAAACAGTTTCCCAGGCCAACAAGCAAATATGTAAGAAAACCCAACAGTTAGAAAGATTCAGATAGAAGTCTTGTTTTAAGTTGATTCTAATGATCTTGATTAAATGTGCCATCAATTTTCAGATACCAGGGTTTTGAAGCCATCACTGAGCAGTTTGATTATGAGCATTTTGCCACGATGATATTCTCTAGTTCTGCAGGACGCTTTTATTCTGTTTTGTGCGGATCAAAGTAGATGTTGGCAGAGGTTTTGTAATCTGCAAATCTGTATTACAGCTGATATCAGCCCTTTAACCTTTCAAATCTCACAGATATTACTCCTATGTAGGGTAACACAAAGCTGACAGGCTTGTAAATGTTGAGTGAGTATGTACAAATTTCAGGCTGAATTGGAATTGGTTTTCAGCTCTGATGAAAATAAGTCACTAGAAATAGTCCTTATTTTTCTTTCATTCCAAATAATATTTTGGAGCTGAGGGAGGCTTCATCTTAACAAGTAGGGTACCTGAAGAGCAGTTTATTTACCTTCTAGAATATTCAGGATAAGGACCATGAACCTCCAGCCTGTTATCATGAAAGGTGTAAAAATGATGAGATATTGTGTGTTAGCTACTGTTAGTTCACTGATACTGCATTGATATTTGGGAACTCTACTCTAGGTCCCTCTACTTCATTTGGAGCATCCTAATTGAATTATTACCAGCATTCCAATATGGAAGGAAGGTAGATTTTAGGAATTCATTTTTACTATAACAGTATCTTAAGATGTATGTAGATTTATGTGGGTGTTTTTCAAAGATTCTAGTCTTCTATATGTGTCTGTGAATTTGCCCTTGTAGACTAAATTTCCTATCACCTTTCAGCTTCAGAAAAGCAGTAGCCTGTTCTGCAGTGCTCCTGGACTGAGCTCAGCAGTGTATTGGAATTAAGCAGTGGCTAAGCTAAGAGAGCACAGTTACTGAGGAGAAGCCAGATTTATAGAATCATAGAATAGTTTGGGTTGGAAGGGACCTTAAAAGATCATTTAGTTTCAACCGTCCTGCCATGGGCAGAGACACCTTCCACTAGACCAGGTTTCTCAGAGCCCCATCCAGGTCTTGAACATTTTCAGGGGTGACTCATCCACAGCTTCTCAGGTCAACCTGTTCCAGTGTCTCATCACCCTCACAGCAAAGAATTTCTTCATGATATTTGATCTAAACTTAATCTCTTCCAGTTTTAATCCATTCTCCCTTTTCCTAATTAATATACTTCTGCTTATCCCAGATGGTTCTGAATGCTGAGAGACTTCAGAATTCTGGAGTTGCATTGGGGAATTATTTTATTTCAGTAAGAAACTACAATTGCTTTTTAGTCATTCCAACAAATGATTTTGTAATGCTTTGAAAGTAAGTCTGCCTTAGATCCTCCATAAAAGTTCTAAAATATATTTGTTAAGCAGTGAAAAGAGAAAAGAACTTTAAATCTCATGAAAAGAGAATGATAAACATGGTTTTGGAAATGGAAAAAAAAAAACTATTAACATTTATTGAGCACTTTTGTTAGATTATCTGGAAGTGCTGTATAGAATTGTGCTGTCCTTTCTCCTGGTATCCTCTGATAACGCATTAAGAACACAGATAAAGAAGGGAAGATTTTCGATTCTTCCTTCTATGTGTCTAAATCAAAGCCATTTTTCATACCTGAATGAAACATCAGCTTTAATCTGGATTAAGAACTTTATATGATTTCATTCGCAGAAAAGCTTGTAGCAGCTGTTTTAGTTACCAAATTTATGTTTCATATTTTCTGTGAATGTTACATCCTTAAGAATGTCTTGGAGTATAATCTGTGGAATAAGTTAATTATAGGAATGGTCTTGGTTCTCTAGATATCCCCATTTCTGGCATTATATTTGAAAAATATCAGCACATACTTCCTATGCCACACATATAAGTGTGTTTCTCTGTGTATTTACTCCCTGATGTTCAAAAATCAAAGTTTAAAATTATTCCAGAACTCATAAGAAAAGAGTCACAGTTTTATGAAGGTAAAATCCTGCATGAAGCACAATGACAAAGTCAAGAGTCATTTATGAGAGATAAATCACCCTCTTTCACAGAGAATGAGTCTCCTTCACGTTACCTTACATTTACCACTGTGTGTCCACAGACACTTGACCACACACCAGTACTGCTGTTTCTGGCTGATCATTAGCAGCCTCTAGACCCAGTTTCAGCTTGCACGCTCCTGTCCCACCTTGAATATGAGCTGATTGGAGATTCTCTTGGATTTGAGTGAAAAATAGGATTGAATTTCACAAAACACTATTGTAGTGTACATTCATGAATACAGTTGGGGTTTTTGTGCCTGATAGGTGTCCATGTGCTGCCCTAGGACAGGTTACAAGCCCAGGCACAAGTGTTTTACTAAATTGTAATTTTTTTTTTCTTTTGGCAGGTAAAGGTTTTTAAACACACAGTGTTTAGCCTGGTTTTTACCTGAATGCTACACAGTGATTCTACTCCCATCTTTTTGTTCAATTCTCATCTTTTTGTTCAACTAACATCCATTTAGTAAGGGCTGTAAATACCATGATGTTTGATAAATATGTGTGTATTTTATATGTAAAGATGTGTGCTTGCCTTATCCTAAAAAAAAAACATCTGAGAAAGAACTTCAGGCTAAATTTATTGGGCATTCCTAATGCAATGGAATTACAAGCCTAGTCTTTTATTTCCTGGTATTACATTTTAGGAAAATAAGTTTCTTTCTTCCCCAAATTGAAACTAGTCATTTGGTTGTATTTTGAACTACATAAATGTTTAATTTACCAGAAGCTGAAAGGGTAAATTTAAGCAGGACTGAAAGTTTTCTGCTGGAGCTTCTTTAGTGCACCTGCTCTGGTCACTCTAGGACTGTTCATACTAATTTTGGCTTTTGCTATTTTAAGCCCTTGCGGGACACTAAAGTCTTACTTGTGGTATTTGTCTTAAAGCATTAAATGCTTATTTCATAGGTGTCTACAGAACAGGTGGTAGTTCATTGCATAATAACTGTGTGCTCCATGAACGTTGTTTGATCATTTTTTAGTGTACCAGGAAATCCTGCTTTGGGCTGAAAAGTACAGTTATCAGAAGCTGAAACACAATGTGCAAGCCAGAGTATGAGCTCTACTTCTTTGTATAAAGAGATATCTTTATGATATTTCATTATCATAAAGAGATAACATTTTTCTACGGTCTTCATGGGAATTCAACAGCCCAGTCCTTAAGGTGTCACTTGCTCCTGTCTTTGTAGATGAGACTTCTTGATTCAGAGCATAGCCCCTGGGGTTTTTAGCCTAATTCATCTAATGTTACTGTGGTGAGATTGTTATACCTAACCTGACTGACAGATGCATCCAAAGGGAAGTCCCCTTCCCCTCCAACAAGCTTGATTCCCTGAGACTGTGCACTAATGATACCAAGGTGCCATTAGAGTTGTAGTACCAATTTGGCAACCAGCAAAAATCTGTCTGGCAGCTACCAGGATGCTGTTTCATGGTGTATTTCAGGTAATGAACAAGTTCTTGGCTCCTGTGCAGACACTGTGGTTCCAATTTTTTTTTTCAGTTGCAATAAATCAGTGTGATTTTCACAGCTGTTATTTTCAAATATGCAAAGTACTAGATGGCCAAATCCCATTAAATTAAATTTAATGGTACTTGGCAATGATCTTCACAGTTCCATGCAATTCCTGGTGCAGTATAACTGTAAAATCTTCAGGTGGGATTCCAGCCTATAAAGGAACCATTGACCTGATTTGAATCACATGGCCAGTCCCTATTAGAATCATAGGATTATAGAACCATAAAGTGTTTGAGTTGGAAGGGATGTTTAAAGACCATCTGTTTCCAACTCCTGTGCCATGACAGAGACATCCTCTACTAGACCAGGTTGCTCAAAACCCCACCCAACACTTCCAGTCATGGGCCATCCACAGCTTTTCTGGGCAACCTGTTCCAGTGCCTAACACCAGAGAAAGAACAATGTTGAACTCGTATCTTAGTGGAAATTAATAGTGTATTCAAATCACACGTCTGTGGAGAGCAAGGCTGCTCACAGTGCTGTGGTAACCGTATCTGGAGCTGTGCTTTCCTTTTATGCCTGTTCTCTGCCTCCAAGTGTCTTGTGTGCTTTGACACATGGTGAGTCACTTCCACAAAGGAGGAAGGAACATGGTTCCACTTCTGTGACCTGATGGTTGAAACATACCACTGGTAAGTGAGAGCTTGTTATTCAAAATCACTTGGCCTAAGGTGTCTTTAAACCTGGTCTTCAATTTCCTAGTGAATATTTTAGACATTCTGCCATTAAGCAAAACATGGGTGCTACTACCAATACCATTACCCCTGTGTCACCATTTAATTGGCATTCTGATAATCTCAATCATTGTTTGAACTTGAGCATGTGATTCTCAGCATGTGAACAGACACCTCTGAGTTGGTGCAAAGGGAACTTGATGGATGTTATGGACAGAGGTGCCAATGAGGTTTTGGCTCAACAGAGATTTAAGCACTACCTGACATAATGTATTTTGTGACTTACTCAGAAACTTAGCAGACCACATCTGGCCTGCCATCTGAACTACTGTGTAAAGGTGTGTTCCAGTGGAAGGTGTTCCATGCCACTGTTTCAGGACAGCATGTGATACAATAATGACACAAGTACTTCTCCACAGCTTCCCAGTTACACTGTTGCAGCAAATTACTAACAGCAAGTTCTTACACCTCAGCATTCCAGAAATTACATAGCTTATGTTAGCATTATGTTGTCATGAAGCATAATGAACTTCTCCAAGGCATGCCTCATGTGAAAAGTGAAAACTGTTTGATTTCTCATTCAATATATGCCTTCTTATGCAAGCCAGTGATTTGTGTGTCGCTCAGAATATAGTTTTCTGCACAGATTTTCTGGTGGGCTTCGTGATCTGCAGTTTAGGAAAGTATTGTCTAAATGAAAAGTTTCTCTGTTTCTGCGTACAGTGGAACTGTAAAATAAAAGAGTATAAAAATCTTCGTAAAATTATGTTGTAATAAACCAAATATGTTAATGGCAGAAGAGAACTGAGAATTTTCATCTGTTGGGACATTTTTCAAGTTGGTCATTAGAAAGCATCCATTTTTTAACAAAAAATACCCAAAATTGCCTAAAAGAATTAAAAACTGTTTTCTGGCTTCACAGAAATACTAAAATAGCATAATGATTTAAATTTTCTAACCAATTTTAGCTCTAGCTAAGAATGGAAGGAGTTTTCTGCGTTTTCATTTCTTCAGTACATAGGTCCTTAAGATAAGTCTGAATAAATCAAAACAAGTTTAATTTTGCAGCTGTAAAATAAAGAGGTCTGTTAGTGCAGTGGTAAGTAGATTTTCTATTTTGCTTATCAAAAAAGTGTATTCTTTTCATAAAGCATTTGTTATGTCTGTTTTGAAATGGGTTAGAACTGGAAAAGGAGCCCTCTGTAAGGATGAAGAGCAACAGCCGCACTTCCCTAAAGCAGTTCACATTCTTTGTTTTGCTTTATTTTAAGATGACATTGTTTTTGTGTTGATGGGTTTGTTTTCATTTGTTGATGCAGTTGTATTTGTCAGGTGGCTTAATCTCAGTGTGATTAAGAACAGTGAAGTAATATACTCTCACCTGTATTTTTCCAGCTCATTTTCACGCAGATGATATTTATCTCACCTGAATAGCACCTGGCCGTGTTTCAGCAGCAGGGTCTGTTCCCCTCAGAGCAAGGTCAAAACCTATAGAAATTGTGAAGTCAGGTCTTGTTTATTGCTGTGCATATGTCGGAGGTTGCATTAATTCTGATATCTCTGTTTTACTTTCAGGGCCCTAACTCAGTCATGATCGCCCTGGTAATGCTGTTGAATATTGGTTTAGCCATTCTTTTTGTCCATTTTCTAACTTGATTGGAATTAGGAAAGGTAAGAAAGGTCTTGCTTTCATAAAAAATCACCATATCCACCCCACCTTTAAATGATAAAGATTTAATTTCTTCACATACTTTTAATGTTCCCCACTTTAATTTTTAGCTGTGCCTGAATGTGATTCAACATAGTTATTTAATATTGTAACTGTTTTGACCCTTCAGTGAAGTCATGACAACTAGTGGTGTTAGCCCACAGTTCTCTGCAGTTGTGTCATCAGCCTTTTAAATGGCACCTGTCATACTCAGACACAGGGAAGGAGGCTTGGAATTAGGATGGGACGCAAGAGAGATGAAACTTGGAAAATTCAGCCAGGGGCCCAGATCAGTTTCTCTGCTGGTGGCTCGTGGCTTTGGGGTCCTCTGAAAGCTGAAGCAAGCAGCCATGTTGGAAAACAAACAAAATAATCTGCTGAAGCAGCCCCGCCAGTGAAGTGTGTTGGCTTCTCCATCTGTTCCAGCAGAGTGTAACTAAACTGGAAATGTACGGAGCTGCACTTTTTGTTGATGGAAGTTAACAGCTGCCTTACTATTTTACCGTCTGATGTTTTTAGTGGGGAGATGGGAAAACGACTGCCAGAGGAATGTGGTCAGAGGATTCTGTTGCTGTGGAAGTGATTCCAGCGTTCACTCCTATCTCATTAGAAGAAATAGTTAGCAACATCAGTCACCAGTCTTATTCCATTACCTGCTGCTTTTAACATCTCCTGCAGTGTTCTGGGAGATCGAATTTCATTTGCCTGTGCATGATTCTGTTCATTTGTTGTTTATGAAATTTGATGTATAGCCATAAGTAGTGTTTAGTCCAACCTGGAGAAAGCTACCAGTTCTGCCTAGCAGCAGAAGCAGAAAATCAAATATATTTTCCTAGTCCAGGGATAAAATTGTTAAATTCATTTCCTTAAACCTTAAGAGTCATTTTGCATTAAGGTTCAGTAAATAATACACCATTACTGCAAAACTTAAAAGATACTAGTATCTTCCTTAAAATGCTCAAATACTTATGCCAATACCAAGCAAAATTTTGCATAATAAAAAAAATAGAATCTTACATTGGTAAAAGCACATTCTAAACAGAAGATTAGAATATCAAAATAAGCCAAGAAAGATGAGGCACAGGGTTTGCATGTTGATTTTTTTTATTATTTTTTCTTTTTTTTTTCTTAATTCTGGTGCTGTGGTAATCGGTGATTTGAATTATTATATTGCAACACTGAGGTATTTTGACAGCAGTTAAAATAAAGTCTTGTCTGGGTGCACATTACTGCCAATGACAGTTAAGCTAGCTAATGGTCATAATAAATCACAACTTTAAAATGCTAGATGTGTGTTGAATACATTCAGGTAGAGCATTTAAAAATGTTAAGTTATTGTTTATCAATTCGATGCCTTCAGTGTCTTTAAAGTCCGTTTATGATTTTACCTCAGCATTGAAAAAGCCTCAAAATTTTTCATTTGGGAAGTTTGTCTTAAGTAGTTTCATAGCCCTTTGTTCAAAAAATGTGATCACGTTTCTTTTTATGTGCCATTATACTGTAACTATTGTACCCTATATTAATCAAATGCATGCTTATTTATTGAAGATATGTGGTGTGATCATTTGGCAAGCAAACATTTTAATTTAAAGCTGCAAAAAGCAAAGGGCTTGTATTACGGTTTATTTTATCTCTATTAGAAAATCTTTCATGCAGCATAGTTTTTGAACCTGTTTGTAAACTTTCTAAGTTTTTGCATGGTTTAATGGGCAACATTCTTACAAAATACATTAGCTACTTTTTGATGCAGCATAGTAAAGTACTGTAGGTATGGACTGAATTTTGGGCAGCGAAGCAGCTCCGAGCAGGGCAGTAACACCATGGTGTTTTTTACAGAAGTATGTTGAGAATCCTGTGTTTTGACCAGTGTGGATAAAGAAGAAAGCAGAAAGAGAGCAAATGAAAATAAAACTTGTATATTTATTTTTAAAGAAAAAAAAAAATTTAAATTGTGTTTTAAATTTAGGAAAGTAATTTTTAAATACGAACAAAATTTTAAAAGTTACTGTGTAAGCCTTGAATTTATGGATGAAATGTTCCATCCCACTGTTAAATCACCCCCTGTCTCCTTACATGGAGAGGTAATTTTGTAACTGACATATTTAATTCCTATTAAATGTTTATTTAAAATACTTTATGCTCTGGAAATAATGGGTAACAAAGCTTATGAAAAATGTTTATAAATTTAAGTAAGCATGTTAGTACCATTTATAAATATGTATGATTTATAAGCTTTTTTAAAACAAAGCTCAAACAAATTGTTGGTATTTTTCTAAAACGTGCACAGTTGTATTTTACATGAAAGGCTATTTATAATTGGTTGTTATACTGTACACTACATTTTGGACAGCACAATGATGCCTGCCAATGTACTTAAAAATGTCATTTTGTCTATTTAAAGTTTCTTGCTGTCAAAGAATGAACTCTTTATCTATGAGTTTCTCTGTTTATAATTCTTGACCCAAAATGTACAATGTACAGTTTTCACAACTGTATTTGCTCTAATAAAAATAAATTGGTTATTAATAGAGTTTCAGGCTACTTTTTCCTGTTTATGAATTATTTTATTCACTCTTTGGAAGCAATTTTTTCTAACTAATTAGATCAACAGGAGTGAAGCAGGAAAATGGGTGAAATTCTAGTTCCTTCAAAATCATTGTGAGTTACTGTTTTCAACAAAAGTGATTCTGGGAAACAATTAAAAATAAATCCAAAAAAAAAAAAAGTCAAGCTTCCCTTTGTGTCTTCTTTTGTCTTCCACTACAGTATTTTGTGTCTTCATAAATTCAGTATCTTAAATTACACTCTCACTACAAGCTGATTTGATCTATTTTGTTTTAATTGGTGAGTTACTGGTCTATTAACAGCTGCTCTTGTCAGGGATTTAATTTATTTGGGCTTCACTTCTCCTCAGGATCTTCCATAGGATCAAATTTAACATGAAGTTTGTGAGCCAATATTTACACATAGAAAATTTTCCATTAAAACTGTCTTAAAACCACCACTTTGGCTGAACTACTCCATCAGCTGAAAATTTTATTTTCCATGATTCCAGTTCATACTAGTAGCCAACTGTATTTAAATCCTAATGTTTGTTGAAGAGGAGAGCAATTTCTATTAGTAGTTCCTTTTTAATGGAAATATATATTTTAGGAAGTAGTCATTACTGTCTTGTTCTTTTAAATAATTCTATGAGAGCAAGAAGCTTATCTTTAAGAATTTTTATTTTCTGCACAATACCTGCTCCTTAAAGAAAATCTTTGGATCTTTAAGGAGAGGAAAATGCATTCTCAAGAAAAATAAACAGAAATAACTCAAGTGGCAAAAAATTTTAAAGTCAACTTCAGTTAGATGACTCTTCTCTGACATTTGTTCCACAGTGTTTATGTTCAGAAATGAAAGTGAAGTGTCCACAAAATACTTCTTAAGGTGTATGAATGTGATAATATACTGAGGCATATAAAAATCTCAATAGCAACAAGCAAAAGATGTGCTTGGAAATAGAAGAAAAAAGTTCTCATCATTTTCAAGCTATTTCCCATCTGGGATGTTTTTCCCAGTGGTTTATATTACAAACGATGTTACGTGGCCACGCATCTGCTGTGCCTAGAGGAAAAAAATCCCATGGACACACAGTACAACTTAATGCTTCCAAGAATTGCTCCAGCATGAAAAATGTCACCACATTTCCAGCAAGGAAAGCTTTTCTCAGGCAAAGGAGTTTCTCCTGGCACAAGTTGTGTGTTTGCCCACAGGTGCCAGTAAGCAGTGAGCTGTCTCACCCTTGAATCTGGGGCCTGCTTTCTTGGACAGCTCCATTTATCCGGTTAAGCCATATGTACAGTGTACACAGACAGCAAGTGAACAAGGGTGAGGTGCCGTAGGCTGAAGGAAAAAAGAGAATCATCTTTCACAGCTTTTAAGGCCTTTCTTTACTTAGTGTGTGTACATATATATATATATATATATTAGTTTGCCTTTCCATCAGAAAAGCAGTAAGGAACATGAAGAGGGAGGAATTGTTGGCATTTGCTTTCCAAAAGGAGGGGTTCACTTTGAAAGTAGAAATTTTGAGACATATGGCTACGACTTGCCTTTCAGATACAGACATATGTTTTAAAAAAGTCATAAATACAGCCTAGTGCTGGCTTTAAAAAAGCACCTCTTTATGAGAGTTAAAAATCTTGAAATAGTTATTTACGTAGCTTTTGATGAAGTTCTGTGATTACATTTCTGTTAAATTCTCTGTTAAGATACACCATGTGAAAAGATTCTGACAATAACATAGGTGCAAGGATAAAAGCCTGGAGAATTCAGCACATGCTGAGCCTCAGTAACATTCTTAGTTTTTATTAATAAAACATGGTTGTGAATTGTATCTGAATGGTTTTACTCATAGCTCATTTGAACTGTTTAGTCAGGGGAGACGGTTCTACAGGCCATTCTCCTATGGAAATCTAATTCAGTAAACAAAGCAAATTAAGAGAAGGGAGATTAAATAAGCCTTTCAAATGAAGTAGTCTTCTCATTCTCTCATTTAATATTCACAGAAACAGCCAAAATTAGAAATTATGTTAAGTCTGAGCAAGAAGCTGTGTATGCCAGTGTGCTATAGCTGAGCCATCTACTGTATCCATCTCCGTTTGTTTCCTACTCCGCACGGAAACTGCAAACTAAGAGGCATTACACCTCCCACTGTTGTAGGAGGTAAATATAATTTCCATACTAAACATCTTTAATAAAAACAGTCTATAACGTCTGTGGCTATAAAGTAGAAGGAAAAAAGCCACTCCCTCTGAACAGTTTACGTTGTGACCATGACTGCAACATCAGAACAAATCCCTCACCCCCCTAAAACTAATAGCAAAAATAAAGCTGATAGCAGATTTGATAACAATCTCTTGTGTTTCTTTCTTTTATTTGCTACAAAGAGGGGATGGGGAGGAGAACAGGTAACAGACAGGTTTTTTAACCCGATAATCTAAATTTTATCATATCAGTATGTGCTTGCTTCAGCTAATGCTTTTAACAATCCATTGGGACTGGTTATCTGGGAGATTTTAGGTGCAAACTGGCAGTATATTGAATATTATTTCTTCAAGACGGTTTTAAATTTTTCTTTGTAATGAAAAAAAAAATAGGATTTCCCTTACCACCAGTGAAAATGGGTTTGGTGGTACTTTTGCTGTGCCATCACTGTTTTTCTAATTATCTTCTGTTCTCCACTGCCCATCCACCTCCCAGTTCTGACAAATTCAACTTAATCAGTCTTGCCCTGCATGTGGACATTGCCCCAGGATTTCAGCCACTCATTCCAGGAACTTGAGTTTTCTGTGGGTCACTTGTTCAGTGTTTTTAACTCTCTGTGGCTGTGGAGCCCATCTCTCCTGCAGTTTGCCCCACAGCAAACTGCACCTGTCATATCACAGTTTTCATTGGGTCCATTCTCTGCATACTGTTGATGCTGGTTTATGCAACTCTATTATAATTTCAAATCTACTCTCATTGTCTCCAGTGTCAGGGATTTAAATACAGTGTGTGGGAACTGAGAAGAAAAATACTGAAAGTGATGCTATACACAGAGATTTCTGATGGCTCTTTGGAATTCATAGAAACCAAGGTAATGCTGACATTATTAGGAAAAAAAATCTGATATCAGCTGGGTTAGCAATTCCTGTACAAATTCCCACACTAAGATTGGGAAAAAGATTGGTCATGCAGCTGAAGCTGATTCTCAAATCAGAAGAGCAAGGAGTCTGAGGGTTGTGATTTACTGGGATGGTGCAGTGGGATGATTTCTGGACCTGATACAGGTATGTGTGGATTGTTGGACAGAATAAAATACATCCTGTGTTGGAAATCCAGGGTTGCTCTCCTGCCTGAGCTTACACTTGTCTTCCTCCACGTCCTATACTGATTAATCAGGCAGCTCCGTGGAAGTTGGGTCACATACATCTAGACAAGGACTGGATTTTACATTCATGTGTGCCTTCAATAGTAATTACTTTAAGTAAAGAGAAGTAAATGATAGGTGCATCATGGGCTTTAAGCCATAGGTTTTGAACTCTACTTTTTTTTATGTTGATTTCTCCAAACTGGAAGAAAATATGGAATGCAGTCAAAGAGTAGAATTTCAGATGTTGTTCACAATAATAGGTATGTTAATCCACGACACTACCTGAATTCCTTTAATACATTAATTTAAGAAAGAGATGTGTCTTTCTCAGCTTTACAGTCTGGTTTACTGAATAACAGCTTGACAGAGACACTGTATTAAACCACAAAACAGAGATTCTGACCAAGAATTTTGAGAATGTGGCTGCCTATATTTACATTTCTTCACCTACACCTAATGATCTAAATGTTTTAATTTCCCAAGGTTTGAACACCCTATGGTTAGTATTCAGAGACGTTTTGGGAGGGGGAAAGGGGGAAGTCAGATATTACACTGAAAACCACAGTCTATGAAAATGTTAAATCTGGCCTACAAAATGTGCCAAAGATTGAAAGCATTTAGATCTGGGTTTTGAATCAGCTACAGGCTCTGATTTTGGGATTTCAGTCAGAATCCAAATCTGGATCTGATTTCAAAGGCATACAAGTGAAATACTTGAACCAGGAGTGCTGTTAAGGAAGGGGCTGGAGAGAGAGGGAGTTACTTAAAATCAGGCTGCTGTAACTCTGGGTTAATTAAATCATTACATTCTGTACTTTTGGAACAGTGTCATTAACTTTATTTGACATAGCAATTTTACTGTATTCAGGACATGTTCCACTCAGAAAGTATCACCATTCAAGGTAATGGTGCTTAATTACTTACCCAGTTTAAGCTGCAAAGTACTTTTATCATGCAATACCACCAAGTCTTCAAAAATACTGTGAACTGCCTCCCATTTAATTATGACAGCTCAGTTCTAGATTTTGTTTAGGCCACTGATGAGAAAGTCACTAAAGGATGGGATTGGCTACCATGGAAACGGTGAAGACAGAAGAGCACCAGCAGCATTTCACAGGGGCTAGGACTAAAAAAGACATTCTGCATAGAGAAGGTAATTGAAAGACATTTACATCACAGCGGATAGCTTCCATGCATTCCTGCCATTCCAAGACAACACATTCCTGGCATAGGCTGCAACAAGCCTCCACATGCACCAGTGATACACAGCAGAGCAGGCATTGTCAGAAGGATTGGAAATGAATCTTTATGAACAAGGAGGTACAGACACGTTGAAATCTAAAGCAGAAGAAAGAGGAAAGCATGGGGGAAATGAAGAAAGGGGAAAGGAGAAGCTGTGAGGAACCTATATGTGTTAATATGGAGGGGAAGAGATTGTTTATAGGGAAAAACACTAAGGAAATGGACAATATTGGACCCAGGAGAAAGTGGCATTTGTTAGATAGGAATATGAATGGAATAGAAGACAGAGAAGTCACCATCCTCAGCACTCAAACAGCTGCTCTAGAAAGCTGCTTTCCAAGCCCACAGAGATTAAGAAAAAAACAGATGGGCTTAAATTGCATGAAAATTGCGATCCAAGTTAGGCATAAAGAATTCTCTAATTGTAAGAATATCTTTGAATTAGATTACCACAGGAATGGGAATATTTAATGTTTACTCTGAAAAAGATTACAGATTGAATGATTGCTGAATGCCCATTAATAACATATTTTCTGTTATTCTATGATAATTATTATGGAATGTGAAAATTAGAGGTGTTGTGTGAAGGAACTGGGAAACAAGAGAATGAGTTCTTTACTTACAGGAGAAAAATTAGAGTGTACTGCAGGAATGAAGTAGGAGGAAGTTTGGACACGGCAGATGAGAGGAACAAGAAAACGTGAGGCAGAGAGTGAAGAAGAGTGTCAGGGTTGACAGAAGGCACACAGGAGCAAAGGGAATAAATGGGCAAAGCCCACAAATGCAGGGTTGCAGGAAGGAATACAGATAAGCAGTGGGCTGGGAAGCCTTAGGCAGTCCCATAAAAACAACACACTAAAGCACAAAAAAGACAGCTTGGGAGACAAAGACAAAGCAACACTAAAGAACCATCACGTGTTCAGCAATACCACAGGTGTCCATCATTTTCTCAGCTGAAGATACTTAGTGGACTTTGATACAATCTTTAAATTACAGGAATAATTTAATTTATCAGGAGGCCTCCATTTAATAGTTAAATGTTCAGGGAAACATCTGTGTCCAAAATCTGCAAAAAACAACAGTTTGCTGTTACAGCAGGCTGACTTGAGTTCCACGGATAAGAGCCAGTTATGCAGAGATGGTAGCGTGTATTTTATTAACTCCTTGTGTAAAATTTCTCAAAGAAGAATACTTTATGCAATGGGGCTTTCCTGTTGTTCATAAAGATGTGATAAACCAAACAAACAAAAGGTTTAACTGCTGCATAATCACATTAGCTCCCTATTTGAAGAGAATCTTAATGCAAATATGCAGGTTTATGTCTCTGAACATCTCAGAGTACAGAAATGTTGTTGGTATTTACAGTGATTCGCTGCTGTACCAAATGTTGCATATGCTCTGTGGACTGTGGTGTTGTGAGTCACGCAAATTATGTAACATTTGGAAATACACTCAGTCATCTGCTTGCTACAGAAATATTGCTAACAGATTCTTCACTCTCTTTTATCTCTACAGTCTTTATCACCCTTGTTAAATGTTATTTTCATGCAACTTCCTCAAGGGGAGATGACTCAGCGAGAGAGTAAACCATAATGCTCCATTGACACCAGTGGCCATATGTGCTGGTAATCAGGTGCTGCCAACCCTCCTCCTTGACACAGCTAGCAGTTGCATGGGGGTTTAATTGTGTCCAGAGTGCTATTCCACACTACATGCTAGTGCAGATGTCACCAGGAACAGGGTGAGAACATAACCAGTGAAAGGCACAATTGTGCCTTTAATGCAGCCCTCGTTCCAAACAAATAACAGTTCTCCAAAGCATCAGCATTGCCTCCTGACCACACTCCTTTTGGCCTGTTTCCTGCCTGACCACGCTGAGAGGAAAGATGGGCTTTTCCCTAAAGGTGAACAAATGTAGGATCAAGGGCAACTTTTAGCCACAGACCCCTTCCAGTAAACCAGACTTCATTCATTCTCCTCTGATTTACCTGAGTGCTAATTAGTTTATGCCAGGTCCTCAAAAGGCTCTGTGGGCACCTGCACACCTTTGAGGATGTAGGGCTTCATCCAAGCCCCACTTCTTTCATGGGAGGTGGGGTCAGGTGGCAGAGGGATGGAATTTGTTGGGGTTTTTGCACATGCACACGCGAATGCCCTTCTTGTTATCCAGTGTCCTTGATTCTCAGGTAACAAGAAACAGCAGTTCTACTGTTTTTTGCCAGTAATTGGTCATTTCCCCCCATCAAGCAGCCTGAAGGCAGCAGAGACAGTTCAGAGAATCAGCATGGCCATGTGAACTTCATCCTTTACCCTGGAGACTGAGTACTTCTGTAGTCCACTGCTGCCAGATAGGTAAAAATACAGGATGCATAGAGCATATGGACAGCTGTAAAGTCTGTCATTAATGCTTCTGGCCGCTAGTACAAACTTCTGTTTAAATTAAGCATCAGGGCAGGTTCTTTGGTTGCATAAATTGCAGGTCTTTAGTGATTGGCATAAAAAATGTCAATCACAAGCTTTGGCTGCCAGAAATAGGGACTGCTAAGTGTTCAGATAGGTGAGATGTCATCTTGTGAAGAAAAAAAAAGCAGAAAGAAAAATATTTTCAATTCACCTTATGACTAGTAGCTAATTGGCTGACATTTCAAAACCCTGTGTTCACACATCTCATATTCTTCACACTAAATGAGAGACTGAAAACACTGAAGAAAATGTATTTTCGGGCATAGGAAGAAGCATTGGATGGAAATGAAAAGTGCTTTCTGGTAATATTTATGAGTCAGAGAACCTCAAAGCCCATTTGTGTACAGTGGCATTGTGTACACGGGGCCAGGCCTGCGTCTCAAAGGCGGGCGAGACGGGCTGCACACAAACACCCGGCTGAGGGCACCCTCTGTGTGGGCACAAGGCTGCTTTCAGCTCACTCTTTGGACAGCATTCCAGCTGCCAGCCAGCTGCAGGTACAAGCTTTAGGGCAGGGGAGTGGTGACATGACCTAGCTGGAAAGCTGGAGCACCCTGGGCTGGGGCAGAGGCCTCCTGATGCCTCCGCTTGCCCCACCGGGTCTGGAGCATTCCCGGTGTCCTGGAGAGGGCAGTGGTGAATGATGGTGCTGACAGGAGACCTGCACACAGGCCTGGCTCCTACAGCCCCCCAGAGCCCCGTGCTTCCAGCGTGCCATTAATGGTTTGAGTGTCACAGCAGGAACCAGTTGTTGCATCTAGGCACCTACCGGGTATTTTCGGTATTCCAGATATGCCTCTGTCAAAGCCCTGTTGAACCACTGTGAAAATGCTGGTGGCAGAGTAAAATAAATTGGAAGGAGAGCATAAAAAGTTGCCACTTGCAAGACAAAAGCAGAAAGAAAAGGCGCTTCCGTCCTTACAGTCTGTGCACGTGACTCAGGAACAAGGCTGGCAGCCAAAACTGCCCGATTGTGCCTATCAAGTGTCCCTGTGTTGGGAGGGAATGTCCTGAGGAGCTGGCTGGCCACTGACATTTGGAAAATGAATGAATTGTGCTTGCCAGGTGCTTGAGAACAACATTTGGCATGAAATAGCTGGCATGACATGAGTGTGCAGGCAGTGTTTTAATTCCTATTCTTCTAGACCTTCCCATTGTATCAAGGGACTAAACAGGAACCCGTTTCAGAGGGCATCAAATATTCCAAGGGGATGGTTACAGATATATTTGCAATATATTAATTTTATTAAGATATTAACTAGATATTAACTATAAGATATTAACTGTAAGATATTAACTAGAGTAGGATTGCATATGGGATATTATCTCAAATAATAACAGCAGTGGAGACCTGAAATGGACCTGGAATGCTTGCTGTGGAGACACTGGAAAATCTGGGAAAAGTCAAGGTAAGAAGATGTGAAAATAACTCTGTTATTTCTAGAATTTATGAAAAAGGTGAACAAATTTTGCAGACCTGAGCTACCACTGATATTTATAGACCTGCTTTAACTAGGAATAGGGTAAGCCCTGCTCCCTGCCACCCTTAATTTTTCCCTTTTGTGTTTCAGTTTGTTTTTTTAAATACCACTCCAACTAACTTTAATACTGACCATAGCAGAGGTAATCAAAATCAAGCATGGATCAGATCTGGTAGAGCAGTCTGACACATGTTGCTCCAGAACAGCCTTTGAATCCTTAGTGATCTGTGTGTCTTAAAGAAGACACTTTGTTCCTGGAAGCCACAGGTGCTACTCATGGCACATCTGCACTAGAGAGACCATTTTAACCTAGCTTTGTTGCATTACTCAGGTCACATAAGGTAGAAAGTAAATATGCTAATTCAGTGGTGATGGTGATTAATCTGTGTCTTTTGTAAATTATAGAAAATTCAATGGCAATCAACAAAGTTACTGTATAGCTGGAGAGGAGCACTTATAAGCTGATTTGCTTTCTTACAAGAAAAATTGCTTGATCTTGAAAGAATCTTGACTGATGACTTTAGATGAGTGATGCAAGCAGAAAAGCCAGGCCAGAAAGATGAGCTACCTATTTCTTCCTGACATGCTAAGGTCTGCCTGTCTCACCTGAGTTTTTACATATTCTTCAGAGATTCAGACAATTTTGCCCTTGGTCTTTAAAACAAAGGGGAATCAGCAATCCAAATTGTAAAATTTTATTAATGAATATGTAAGATTTTACACTGATTTTCCTTTTTAATACTGAGAAGCAAATTTCAGTCATGTATGCAAAATGTGCTGCACTGTCACAGCTCCAATGAGAGGCAGCAGAAGGGTTCAATAGTGAACATTCACACCATTCAGCCCAGGAGACTTCAGAGGTCTAAATTGTCATCCTGCTTTCAAATTAGTGATTTAAAATTTACAAATGGTAGTCTTAACCTTAGCCTTTCCTTCTTCTTTCTCTGGCTCACCAGTAAATCTCTGATATTTACTGAAATGCCTGTTTGTTTACTGTTTGTTTAAGGACAGAGAGATGTTGCACGTTGTTTCTCTTTGGCTTCACATGCACAATTCTTATCAGGACTATATGACTTTGAAATGAATACTACCCACTGGAAAAGTTCAGGCAGACCAACACATTAGGTTCTACACTAATTGTTAATACACTATTTTATCAATAGTATTAATATTAATATTAAATATTAATATTAATATTTTGTTAATATTGTATTAATACACTAATCTAACACATTTACCTTCTCCCTCTGACAACTTTACTGTTTTCACCAGGAAGAACAGGAAATTTAGGAAGCTTTTATACCATGTAAACAAAATCAGAATATCACAAGCGCATAAATAATTACTTGGAATCTAATAAAAAGATAGGTGATAATTTATTACATTAATTTAATTTCATTAAGGATGTAATTAACATCTGCTTAATTATAGAGTTACTGTTACGAGTGAATAGCTGAACATTCATCCAAATGCAGGAACACTTTCTTTTCAGGAGGAAAGGACATTTGCAGGACAATCTTCAGCTTCTCAATCAAGATGAAACAATGAAATAAAATTCATCTATCTTGTATTTAATTTTTATTTACCTCTTTTGTACAATAAATTCTTAATAAATCTGTTTCTAAACATTCAGAAAAATTCAAGTAAAACTTTGCAAAACCCAAGATTTTGGGCATATCACAGAATTTTTAGGGTTGGAAGGGTTCTGTAGAGGTTACCTAGTCCAACCCACCTGCCAAGGCAGGGTTACCTAGAGCAGGTGATACAGAAATGTGTCCAGGTGGGTTTTGAACGTCTCCAGGCAGTCTCCCTAGACTCCACAACATGTCAGTGCAGCCTGTTCCAGTGCTCTGCCACCCTCAATGTAAAGAATTTCTCCCTCATCCTGAGGTGGAATTTCTTGGTTTTCAGTTTATGGCCATTGCTCCTCATCCTGTCACTGGGCAGCGCTGAAAAGAGTCTTGACAGCATCTTCTTCTCACCCACCCTTGTGATATTTATATGTATTGATGAGATCCCCTCTCAGTCTTATCCAGACTAAGCAGGCCCAGCTCCTTCAGTCTCTCCTCATACAAAAGATGCCCCAGTCTCCTTTTGGCCTTTGCTGGACTCCCTCCAGTAGCTCCTTGTCTTTTTTGTACTGAGGAGCCCATACACTGTGGTAAATTTTGGGAAGTTCATCCTTGACATAGAAGCCAAAGCCTTTCTGCTAACAAATTTGAGACAGCATTTGCAAAGGGACCTGCACTTCACTGAAAGGAGAGAGGAATGAGCTTTTACATGACCTGTGCCAGACCTGCAGAAATTGGTAGCCAAGGTGCAGTACTGCACCAGCACCTCCAACACTGGAGTTTGTGCAGCATCTACCACACTCAGGGGCACTCTCTGCTTGCAGCTTCCATCCCTGGCACTTTAAATCACTTTGTGAGCCCTGCCACCTGCCCTGAAGCCGAGCCAAGAGGCGCCTGCTTCCAGCACTCGGAGCACAGTAACAGAACAAGCCCATCCAAGCAATGGAACCAAAGGGTTCCATAACCTCCATGGAGGGGAGCAGGCACAATGGGCAGCTTTGGCCAGCAATGTCAAAGGCCAGCTAAGATCAGCAGCTGTGACAGCAACTAATACTGCATGAAATCCCTGCCCAAAAGGTCTCACCCCTGGCTACTCTGCCTCCATCCTACAAGGGGTTGTCCCTGCCATCTGTGGCAGTCAAAGGGGAGACCCCATCACACACACAACTGTGCTTCATCCTTCAAATGGAGACTTCATGCTGAGACTCCCTCCAGCTGAGACAAGCTAAAGCTATCAAAACCAAACTTCAGGCCCTTCACTTGGGTCACTCATAGGACACCCTGACCAGAGCCAGCACGGCCAGAGGGCACTGGGCATGTCTGCTCCGTGGTTACATTCACAGATAGTTGTGCACTTCCATGGTCATGTTGCTGAGACTTTCAACTTTATTTCATCTAGCCAGTGCTCATCTATTTTCCACAGTATTTTGAAACTGCCTGGCATCAGAATTCTTGCTATTTATAGTTTTACGTGCAACTTAATATTTACTTCAGCCTCCAATAGGGGTGCTTATTGTAAATGTCAGCAGATTATGTACTATGGCAAATCAATTAGTTATGTAATTATTCTCTTTTTAAGGAGGAGAGACTGTTAATACTTGTTGGATTATTTGAGCATTATGAACCCTTTGAAGTTCTTCAGCATTTTTGAATCTTTAGTTCAGGACTTGCAACTTTAAAGCAACAGTGCAAATAATATCCCAGAGCTCAGGCATAAAGAGAATTATTTTGTTTAACTCAGGTATTAACAGTACTTTGTCTCAAATGAACATTTCAGTTGTGCTAAATTACAATGAAATTCCAGTTGAAGCGTATAAGATGGGAACATTTAATGAATTTATTGATGAATGTTATTATGGCGACTATCTGCTATGTTAATAATGATAAGACTGAAATAAAGTATCACCAGCTGTTACCAACCAGCTAAACAACAGTAATTTTTTCCACTTGTGTCCTAAATTGAATTTCAAAAAGAGAACGATGAACACTGAAATACAGAGATCCAAATTGTTTCGTACTTTAACAGCCTTTGATGTTTTTGGAGTATAGTTACTTTTATTTATTTGAGCAGGAGAAATACATAAGCAAACTAATGATAGCTAGCAAATGCATAACTTATGGTTATAACCATTTATGGTGCAGTTCCCTTGAAGTATGGCAGGCTACATTCTCACAGCCACCACGACAATTAAAAAAAAATTATTAAAAACTAGCAACAAAACCTGGGTGCTTGTTAAGCTGTCACACTCACAATGGATTTTAGGTACAGAGTGCTGAAGGGATTTTATATCTGACAACAGAGAGACCTCACTGACAATTTTGTCACTGTTGGAGGCCCTGCTAAGCAGCCATATGTGCAGAGCAGTAGTAGAGGCAAGTTCTCTAGGATGGGACAAGATGGGAGCGACTCAGTACTTTTATTTTGTACAGTGTATGCTTCATTTGTACAGCTCACAAGTAAATAACGTGTGTTTCTTTGTTGTCATCACTTAGCATCTATTTGGAGAAGCAGATTTTTTTCTTTCCACTGCAATTTTACTTTCCCTCTGAGAGGCAAAGGATTCGTGTTTTTTGTTACCAGACTGCCAGTCCACCCTACTTGTAAAGTCACAAGATCAAGAAGGATGGGAAGCTGTCAGGAAAGAGCCCAAAACTGCCAAGCGAGTCTGGGCTGGAGAAAACACATCTGTAGGAGCTGTCCCCAGTGGGGATGGTTGGGGCAGGCGTAAGGCCCAGCCCAGAAGAGCACACAAGCAGGAAATCAGGGAAACAGATGGAGCTGTGAGACAGGGAGAGGGCAGGGTGTGAATCTGGTGAGCTAAGCAAACAGGCACCATTGTTCCCAAACCCAAGAAGTTCTTCTGCCGGAAAGATTACAGATTTAAATTAGTGTCCAAACTCTTTGGTGTCCTGAAATCACTGCACTCAGGGGTCCCATTGAGGGATGTGGAAGCACAGCTTCCCCTCTTAGAAGTAATGGACTCAGAAGGGTATTTTTGCTGTTAGATTTATCTGTCTGAAAAAAACAAATACACTTAGCATACACAAAAACCCCTACAGGAGCTCCTGGCTGGGGCCAGACACGTCTCCCTGGTGGATCCTCTGCCTGCAGCTTCCTGGGTTCCCTGTAAGGGTGCTGTACAGCTTGGAAACGGACTCTGATCCCACTTGAGGAGTTGTTTGATTTGAATTCAGCTCTTCTGCAGACATAGAAGGAACATGAAGGTTATCTTCTAGCTGAGGCTCTACAGGATGACACAATTTCCATACCAAAGCTGTAAGTTCACTGCTCGTTGGTTCTGCTTGTTCAGAGTCATCACTGCAGAGTTACATTAACATCATCAAGACAGCTATAGT